TCAGGACAAGAAAAGAAAGTGTGTCGACTTGTTAAATCACTATATGGATTAAAGCAAGCTCCTAAGAAATGGCATGAAAAATTTGACATGGTTATGATGTCAAATGGTTTCAAAATTAACGAGTGTGACAAATGTGTTTATGTCAGGAACACTCCAAATGGATATGTCATGGTATGTTTATATGTAGATGACATGTTGATTATGGGTAACAATGATACCATAATGAAAACTACAAAAAGGATGCTAACAAGTAAATTTGAAATGAAGGATTTAGGTGTGGCCGATGTTATATTAGGAATTAAAATTTCTAGAATATCTGATGGTCTCATATTGTCTCAATCACACTTTATTGAGAAGATTCTTGATAAATTCAAAAAATATAATATTACTCCTATGAAAACACCTATGGATGTTAGTGTGCATCTTGTTTCCAATACTTGTGATAGTAAGTCTCAATTGGAATACTCTTGTATTATTGGCAGTTTAATGTATGTCATGAATTGTACTTGACCTGATATTGTCTATTCAATTAGTAGGCTAAATCGATATATAAGTAATCCAGGCACTGATAATTGGAAGGCTATTGTTAGAGTTTTAGGGTATTTAAAACATACCCAAAATTTTGGATTGCACTATTCGAGTTATCCAGCAGTACTTGAAGGATACTATGATGCAAATTGGATATCAAATACTAAAGACTCCAAATCAACAAGTGGATATGTCTTTACACTTGGAGGTGCTGCAATATCATGAAAATCTTCAAAACAGACAGGTATAGCTAGATCAACAATGGAATCTGAATTCATTGCATTAGACAAAGCCGGAGAAGAAGCCGAATGGCTACGAAACTTTCCAGAAGATATTCCATGTTGGACAAAACTTGTGCCTGCTATATGTATCCATTGCGATAGTCAATCAGCAATTGATAGGGCACAAAATGCAATGTATAACGGTAAATCACGACATATACGTCGTAGACACAATACTGTTAGACAATTGCTCTCTACAGGCATTATCTCTATAGAGTATGTGAAATCAAAAGAGAATATTGTAGATTCGCTAACTAAAAGTTTAACAAGAGAGCAAGTCGAAAGTTCTTCGAAGGGGATGTGATTAAAATTAATAAAATAATCAAAAGTTTCCATGGTGACAACCCAACCTAGTTGACTGGAAATCCCAAGATCTAGGTTCAATGGGACAACCGAACTGTGAAAAACTTAGTATGCACTGGGAAGATTTTACTTCTACCCATTCTATGATGAGCCAGTGTCCAACTGCCGCGAAATATGTTAAGATACGCTTTTAATGATTTCTATATCTTGATTCGTTCAAGTGGAGTATAGTAGAATACTCTTTATGGAAATCACCTATGTGAGTGAGAAGGGACCGCTTCTAAGAGAATTAGGTGAAGATGAATTCTCTAAAAACCACTCATGAACAAGGAGGTGTCAAAGGTTAAAATGGATACAAACATGAGAACCAACCGTGTTCGAAGAAAACTGTGTGACTTCTATTGTTTAGGTTTTCATAAACGGCTGACTGTTCAAAGCAACTTACTACTGATTGGCTAAGGTAATTCGATAGATTTTATTAGGAAAAGTTCAAAGTCATTGACTATTTATCCCGATGCAGTCTTCTTCATTTTTTCTTTGAAAAACATATCAGATGTTATCGTTTGGAAAAAGGCCAACATATTTCATTTATGTGGGGGATTGTTGGAAAAATGGGTCAACTTTGAGCCCAAATTTCAGTAGAACCCACCTTTTAATTAATACGGGGCCTAGCATATTCACGTTCTACTCCGCGAGATGATTAACGTGATATATTTATTTGTCGAAAACCATTTAAAATTGAATGAAATATTAAGTGTTAAAATAACCCGCATAAACTAAGTATTATGGAAGAATTTGATTTTCCAAACACTTATCCCACATAGAAAAGTTAGGAAGCTTTAGTGTGGTTTATAAGGTGGAAGTTTGGAATTGGGTTTGGGCCCCAAGGGGTACCAATAGTTTTTGGAAGGAGGAAGACCTTTATCCTATTGGATTCGATCATAAACCCACACGCGCGCCGTCACCGTCGCCGTCTGTCCGACCGGTCGGCTCGGCACGGCACGGCACGAGCACATGCCAGTGTCCGAGTTTGGGTCCGGGTTCGGGTCTGGTTCGGTGGGGATGCGAGTGAACCGTTGCACTATATTAACTTTTTGGACAAAATTTATTTAAGATTTTGGGCCAAATTGTAGATAATCCAATTCTTGGGTACATTATGAATTTAAATTTTGGCTTATTTCGGGTGTTTTATTTTCCTTTAACAGTCGTCTGTTTACCGACCAAACAATCGACTGTTAACCGACTTAACAAACGCGACTTTTAAAACAGCATGTCTGTTCGGATTTTTGAGGTTTGTTTGAAAGGTGATGACTGTTCGAATGGCCACGAACAAGTCTATAAATAGTCCGCCTCTCTACCGAAAAATTTACATCATTTTCATTGTAAACTTTTTGTGTTTTAAATCTCATTCCTCTCTCTCTCGTTCTGATATTGTCTCGAAGTAAAACACACTTCGTTGAGTTCGTTGGAACTTCTACAGATTGCAGTACTGCTTCCGTAGGAGACGAAAATTCGTTCTATCCTGGGAAACGATTGCTGGATGCTTTTAGCACCATTGAAGGCAGCAAATTCGTTTTAAGGAAATATCGTGAAGTCGGTGGACTCGAATTACTTTTTGGATCATGTTGATCATTTCTTTACATTCAGGTGATTCTGTCGAATTGGTTTTGAAAGAGTAATCTCAAACTCTAGAAACAACACATATTGTACAAAGAAAGAATCAAGATTAAGGGGAAAGAATTAAAGAATGACAGAGGAAAATTATGCTGTAATCAAGTCTTCCTCTAATCAAGTTATGCTGTAATCAAATAATCACGCCTCTTCTTGTATGGTATACTGCTGATTGTTAGTTTCCTTAACATAATCAATAGTGTTGTGAAAAGTCATGGAAATTATAGTATGATATTTGGATAATTCTTTCAACGACTAACATCTAGTAATAATCTTATCTTATTATTTACGCGCGATCGTAAAAGTATGTTCAAATTTTTAATTAAGGGTTGGTCCATGTAATATGTGACATAATATCGTATTGATTCAATTAGTATTTTTAAGATTAATTTCTTTGTGTCATATCTTATTGACTTCAATATTTGATTAACTTTTGCTTAAACTTACACGATTTGCTATATCGTTTAAACAAAATTTTCGACTTGCTGGTTTACATTTGACTTTCAACAAGACATTGAGGACACTTAGGACCTGTTCGGGAATAATTTTGAGAATTAATTTTTTGACAGTTAGAGAGAAAAGTGAATTTCATATGTAAGTGAAAAAGTCAAAAATGACGGTTGAAATAATGAAATAATGATTAAAAAATTAATTTTTTGGGGTGAAAAATTGCTAACAAACGGGGCGCAATAAGTTAACTCGAATAGCCTTGAGTTTAGTAAATGTCGAGTCCATTTGACTTGGTTTTAAAGAAGTCAAAAGGAATTTTGAGACTCAAAAATTACTTTTTGGAACTTATTTGATTAAATTTATAAAAGAATTTCATCTAGTTCAAAAAAAAACAAAAATGAAAAATATGATTATTATCCATTACATCAAATCACCATATTTGACTTTTTATCTTTTCTGTGAATCCTGTAACGATTATATTTTTCATTCTCATTCTTACAAAAATAGTTACCAAACATGGCTTAAAAAATTTCCACTATCATTTATTAGCAACTTCAAAGCCTTTAAATACAAATATACAATTAACATGCATCTAAATAACGATTACACCCATAAAACAACCATCATTAGGGTAATAAATGACCGCGTCATTCTAGAACGTGAAATGGGCTCTTTAGTAATTGATGACTCATCAAATGGACGTTGTGAATACGTCTTTGATTCGTTGCCATTTTTTATGCGTGTCCCTTAATTTTTTGGTCTTCCTTGACTACAAAGTAAAATCATAGTACCCCACAAAAGAAAAACCCAAGCCCATGTTTTGTGAAAATTAAAATTAGGTTGTAGATTTTAATAAAAATTGATGATGTGTGTGGTTATACTTAATTTTGACCATATAATTTAAGTTAAATTCAATAATTAATTTTATTCATATATTTTATGCGATTTAATTAACTTTTATCTAAATTTATTAAAAATCTGATTTTGACCCCACCAAACAGGAGCATAATAATAAAATATGATCACGAAATTTTTAATTTATATAAATACTTAATTACAACCTTGTACCAACTTACAAAAAGAGATACGTAATAAAATTTGTCAATTATTTTCAAATGAATTTAAAATAACACAACATAATAAAACATGTGGATAATTGTCGAGTCTATTTAAAATAATATAATAAAATAAAATTTAGAACAATGCTATTTAACTACCATTAGGATTACAACCTTAATTTAGGTGACGTTATATGATAAACTGAATAAAACGGAAAATTAAATGACATAATTAATTTCTGTTATCATTGTCACATTAATGCTACCTAAACTAGGATTGTAACCTAATATTATTCTAAAATTTATTGATTATTCTCTAGTCAATTTATAATAGTAGAACGTTGAACTCAATAATTAGTGTGTGTGATCCCACCAAAAAGTAGGAGATTAAGCATCACTAGTGCTCAATAATAAAGTGGATGAGAACCAAATTTTGATAGTAAGGTAACAACCCAATAAAACATGTGAACCAATGAAAAGAGTATTCAACAAAGTATGGGGGGCCACATTAAAGATGAAAATGAAATTGTTTTCACTGGTCAACCATATATTTAAAACGACATCGAACAATTTGCCTTTTTGGCCAAAAAACAGCAGTATCCATTAATTATCTTCCCATTTTTAACATAAATAATATTAAATTCTAATTTTTGATTTATTTGATTTATTTGGATTCTCATAACGCATTAAAATCTCCATTTTCCTCTCTTAAAGTTCACACCAGTACGCCTCTCTATATAAATCGACTCCGACGCAGAGTCTTTTTTACGTTTCAATCTCAACAACTTCATTCAGTAAGCAAAATTTAAGGAAAAAAATGTCTAAAATTACTATTGTATTCGTAATAGCACTCCTCTTTTTCTTCACTCTCTCATCCGATGCACGCCCCGATCCAGCAGTGAAAATCCAGTACGAGGTTTGTCAAATATATATATATGAGTTTCATCTTTTTTAAGGATAATATTAATATAAGATTATCAATACAATATTTCTGTTTGTTTTAATTTGTGGCAGGTTGGTAAGACACAGACACAGCATGTTGATGTGGAAGAAAGCTGCAAGGGCGTTGGTGAAGAAGAATGTTTGATGAGAAGGACCCTGGCTGCTCATCTTGACTATATCTATACCCAGAATCATAAGCCATAGATTTTCAATGTTCTTTTCCTTTTCCTTATCAGCTGTAAGCTTGTAGAAAGTACAATCTGTGTCTGAACAGTTGCAGAACGTGCTACTGATAAAGTATATCTATTATGAAAATGGTGACTGCGTATCTAATTTGATTCTGTTTTTTATGTTTTAGTTGAATTTCCTCCCCAAATACAAATTCTACAGAATTGGTTTTGCTGGTTTTTCGCACACGGTTCTGATGAATTAGTTGTCACGGTGCAGCGAGTGAGAGAGAGATGCCTACAAATGCTAAAACAGCCGACTTGAAATAGATGCGCAAAAAATGGCTGCAATTAAGTGACTAGATTTTAACAGCTAATTCTCGAGTCTTCAATTACGTCCTCCGTTATAATACTAGATACGATTAAACCTGTAAATAAAAACATTTATTTACCATTTTTCCTTCTAAAGAAATCGTGTTCACTTTCCCGATGCGTGCTAATAGGACTCGATGAATGGACTTTCTTCACACTTCTATCACTGAAACATCGAGCTTACGCTTCTCTTCAGAAAGTACCCTTTGTTGGAGAAATTACACCAATAATTGTGCATATTATATTCACAAAAATCATGCCATTTATTTGCATGAAATCAAAAAGTAATTTCGACTTACCGAGATGAATTTGAGAAGCAAAACAATAATTTACCGAATCTGATCGTATCAATATGGATTCATTCCTTTAAATTCTTGAACGAAAGCAAGTTAATTATTTACCGAATAATTTACCGAATCTGAACGTATCAATATGAATTCGTCCATTTCAATTCTCTGGATCGAATCTCACAAAAACATACAATGAAGTTAATCATTTTCTGAAATCAAAGCATAATTAAAGAAATCAGAAACGAGGGAAAAAAAAGGAGATGCAAATGATGCGATCGGTCGAGGTAAGTGTTCGATACTTTCTCCATAAGATGAATTTGCCCCGCATTGATGCTAACAGTTCTTCGGCAATCATCTCCCAAGATACAACAATCACGTCAAGCCATAGGAGCACTCCAAATGGTTTCAACCAACAAACTTGAACAGAGTTTCCTTTCTACCATGACCATGATTTTGATGCAAAGTGGAATCACTTCTGTAAAGTGTTTTATGTAACATAACATGAAAGAATAATTTTTGTGTAATGAAAATAAAAGTCCAAATGGTCTTATATATAGAAGTTGAAAATTTATTTGCTTGTGATGATATCAATTATTAACACATATGCTTGATGAATTCATTAATTATTATCTGCTGATGAACTGCCACATCGTATGAGTAGAAAATTAATTATGCTATCTTGGATTACATATGTGTGAGGACATACTCGAAGCACATGTAATAGAAGATATAGGGAAAGTTGAGAAATTCGAAAAAAATTACGATCACAGGTTTCATATTTGATGAGAGTAGTTGACAGTTGAGGTAGTATGCAGTAATGGGCGTTTGCCTTTTTCCTCAGATTTCTGCATTTTCGGCCGCATACATTAAGATAATTTTACCAAATAATAATTGCAGCAGTCAGTACTCTTTAATTTGATGTATGAAACATAATAGTGGACCCCCTTAGCCAAATGAACCCCATTCTACTAGAACTTTTTTTGTAAAAAGCATTCTAAGAGAAGTACGACTGCAACATATTAATGTGTGATATATACATGCACCTGTCACTCTAGCATAAATATAGAATCGACCGGTTGACTAGTTGGCGATGTAAATTAATTTGAAGGGAGTTGAGCTTCATGAAGATACTGAGTTTTCGATAAATGTGAATTGAGAATATGTTGATGATCTTAAATCAATTTGATGGATTTAAAGACTGTAACTCTATAAATAAACAATTTGATCAATCCATCGAAGAAAAACTACTTTTGATACTTATTAGTGGACCATTGTGGAGACTGTTTACAAGTAGAAAAGAGAGGAATACTTTTTTATCATGCGAGGGTTTACTATTTGTAGAAGTTAGTTGTTGGTAAGTGCAATGATTGTACTATACTAGGATTACAAATGTTGAGACATAATTGTTTTGTTATGCTCAATACTATTTATTAAAGGTGTCAAAATGAATTGCGCCGTGATGCCAAATGTAAGTGGATACCGATTGATGGGTAAAGTAAAAGAATACATGTCTTGCGCATGAGCTCCGCATGTGATCTAATGAGATTAATTATTATTATTTTTTCATTTGACAACGGAGTACTACGTCAAACATGTATTATGTATTAAGGTTCAGTATATGGAGCCCTAGACCAATTGGAAGATCAGCATAGGCCTTCAAACCCCAGTATAAAACAAAATAATATATAGTTGAGTCAAATGCGGATATGAACAACTGAATTGTTACAAGGTAAACGTTAGCATTGAACTTCCTTCCATCCAACACTCGGTTTATTAGAAGAGAAGTGTCGTGACTTACAATGTTGACTTTTTTCCATCATTTATGCTATCCGTAGCTTAATATCTCAAATTAGTAACATTGTACATTTGCTCCAATTAGTGCTATTTATGTAAATTTTCGCTAGAACCACACGACAATTCATTTTGGGCTTGGATATCTTTTAGCCCGAAAACTAAAACTCGACAAGTGGGCTGTGTTTAATGGAGCCCAATCGGTAGAAAATAACGGCGGATGGCAAACCGAAGAACATAAAATCAGTGAATAATTCTGCAAATACAGGATCAATTCGGAAGTTGAAAAGAGCTAATAATCGAGAACCTCATACGGATCGAGCACTCAAAGCAGACGCGTTTCTCTCTGCACAGAATACCTCAGAATATGTTTGGTCGAAGAAGATTTCTCTCTTTCCCCCTAGTTATTGGCGCTGTCGTGTAAGTTTTAACTGTCTTTATTATCGAATCCAATGTGTATATATTCTACGAGATTTCTATTTCAGAGTTTTGATTGGATCGATCAGCAAGCGTACTAAGTGATTTACTATTGTATGTTTTCTCTTGTAACCTTCAATTTGTTGTAGTTCACATTCTACATTGATTTTAATTGGAAAAAAAAGGTACGAATTTTAATTCTTGGTAAGTTTGAGTGAGATATGAGTTCAGTTGATCGAATTGGTGCAAATTAAAACATAATTAATTGTACTCTGAAGGAGAATGTGGGTGCTTAAATTATAATAACAGATATGTCCATTGTCCATTGATTACCAGATCAGCAGTACTTTTGTTTGATGAAATTCCCCATCAGAGGTTGATATTTGAAATCATATACCTTGTTGATTTTAATTAGTGAATTATATAATTTGCATGCATTATACAATTGAGTGGTGCTTACCAAGATATTTACTTCCGGATTGTATTTACATTTAAACTTTCCAAGTCTTTTTGCTTCAAAATTTTGTATTAAGAAGCACTTTTGGTCTATTGGTCCTCTCAGTATCGGGTGTTAGGGCTCGTGAGCTTTTGCTTATGAAAACCTTAAAAGTAAGGACACGCTTGCTTATTTTCGAGCTGGTTATGAGCACTAAGTGATTGTCTTTTTGTTTGAAAACAAGGCCAAATGTTTTAATGTACCTATAGGTACTAAAACATACAATTTAATGCTTGTAAGCCAATAGTTCTTATAACTCTTCCCAAGCAAGGTTTCCATAACCAATTAGCATCTTGTCAGCAAACGCTTACTATTATCATTTACCATTGTCCACTGGTTTCTTTGTCTTTCACTCTACAAACATTCTTTTCCATATAGAGCACAATATCTCTCTTAAAACTTTTCCATCGCTTAAAACTTTTCCATATGTGTGTGTGTGTGTGCGCATATGCCTGGAATCAGCAAACTCTATCACTTCAGTTTTCTTTACACTAATTTAACTTTGTTATCACATGGATCCATGTGTTGAGGAAACAAGACAATATGATGCAGACCCAAAAAATAAATAAATGAAAACTAGGAAAAAGGATCATCTGGTTCTCATAGTGGAGCATTCTTGTTGCTCATATTGATATGTTGAGATATTTTTTTTTTCTTATACTTTCTGGAAGCTTCTAGGAAATGCGTTAAATTTCAACACTTGTGCGGACATCATTTTTGCTTCATGGTCCTGGACTCGGGATGGTATGGTAGCATGGTGCCTTGGCAGAACAATTACTCCATATACCTTCCAGCACCTTTTGCTCTGTTCTAGTACATGGCAAGACGTATTATGTTGTCCTTCCTTCTATCTGGAAACTGTTGCTTGTTAGCTTTTGGGGCTTGTTGCCTCATCTCTGATTTAAGTCCTGTAGCTTTTTTTTTTTTTATTGGGGTTTGTAATATATTACACTGGTTTCAGTCCTTGTATAGGCATTTGCCAGTGATTTGCAAAATCTTTTTCTTAGTTTTTCTCTTCCTGGAGCCAAAATCCAAGGTCCATTCAAAATGTGCAAACACAAAGTAAGACATACAGTAGCAACTGCAGAAGATCTACCACCCACATATCTCATAGTATCAATTCCTCGATCAACGACGTCCAGGTGGACAACATCAACGCTTCTCTTCGTGCACTCTGACAGTTTCTCGAGTAAAATCTCGAGAAACGATCTAACTGTTTCAAATGTCACTTTCCCAGTCATATCAAGAACATACTTCCTATTGCTAGGCACTGCCAAAGTAGAAGAAATCTTACTCCTCCATCCATCATCTTGATTCGGATCATTGAACAATTTTCTGGCTGAGGTTATTTTTGTCCCATTCTCGACTTTATCATCTCCAGGAAAACTATCTCCAAAATCAACTTTCCAGTATGGAGGGTTCAGATTTGAATCAGCAATGGAGCTTTTAGTCCACACTTGGTGAGAAGTCTGTATTAAAGTTTCTACAGCACCATTGCATACAGTCACGAGCAAGTCTTTTACTTCAGATTCATGCATAGGATTAGTCAATCCAGAAAAGATTTCATCATAAGTGTTTATATGCATAGATTTCTCCAAGTAAACACTAACAGCAGTGCTCACAAATAATTTTATGCAATCTCCAATTAGCTCTCGACACTTGTCCTCATTAGCCACTTCAATCCACCTCGAAATAGACTGATAATCTGACTCCATTGAAAGATGATCAAGATTTACAAAACCATCCAGATTCGATCCTGTCCTGTATTGTCTATCTGAATAAAATGCCATTACCAAATTTCTTGCAAAACTCCCTACAACTACAGAAGCAAAACCAGACCCTGAATCCGAAAACAATTTATTCATAACCCGCTCAGAGAAATCCGAACTCTCACCCACAGAAGCATCATTTTTCGTAGCTTCAGACTTAAAACCTCGCAGAATTCCCACTGTCAAAGCCTTTGTGACACTATTTACTGAGTTAGAAAACTCGTCAGACCGAGTGATCTTGGATATTTGCTTCAAACTATTTGGAATTTGATTGGAATCTGATCGTATGAACTCTTTAAAATCATTCGAAATAATCCCAATTGTCTCTGCTGAATCAGATACCATTTCTGCTACAGAAACTAATGCACCCAATAATTTCAACAATCTTTTCCTCTTCTTCACAACAGAAGGCGAGTTGTAAATCTTGTAACTTGTGAATCCTAATGCTCCAAGAACAAGAATCCACTTTTTCTCTCTCTTCGTAAAGTCTATACCTTTCTTCAACAGTTCCAAATCCATAAAAAAAATGCAAAAGCTAAAAAAGAAAATTGAGGGTTTGGGTAATAAAGTCTGTATTCACAATTTAGCCGTTTTATTTATACACATACACCCAAGAATATAGACGTATACGTGAGAGAAATTTATATACGCGAACACGAGAGTGACGTACAATCGGTTGCAGAAAAGAAGGGGTTATGTGCAAGTTCAATGGAAAAGTGCCGATGATGATCAACTGGAAACTTGTGCATGTAAATTGATAAGAGAGCTGTGGGATTGATGAAACTCGATATTTGGTTGGCATATATGGATATGGATGATTTGTTGTACTTGATACTACAGTTATCTGTTATTTGTGATAGGAGGATAGAGATAAAGGCACTGGTCGGTTGGTCCCATTGTTTACGAGTCAACGGGTGCTGGGTCCCGGAATTTACCAAAATCCAATTCGAAATTAATTTTCCACCTTTTAGAAAAAATTTCCCAACCTTTGAAATTGGATTTTCAGTCCTCAACCTTCTATTTCTTTGAATATTTCGTTATCTTTACGTAATTCCATTATTTTCAGAGTTAATTTCCCCGTGTGAGACGTGCTTGCTATTTTTTTGAAATGTGAACTTGATAAAATTCTATGCTTAAAACTTGACCTATCTTTCTTTCTCATTTTTCTGCTTTTGAACTACTCTTTAACCTATATTTCAAACCCAAAATATTTCATTATTTTCAATTGAAAATCTAAAAGAACATTCCATTTTTTTACGTACGAATTAATCTCACCAAAAAATTGGTTGATTGCACGAAAATTTGTGCAAAATGTTCGTAAAAGATGAATTTGATCATGACGGTGAGCTTTTTAAAAATTTTGTTAACTCGTATATATTGGGAATGAATTTTCGAACTTGTTGGCTTGATTTTTTGTATTTATATACTTCTTTCGATTATTCTGAGTAGAAATATGCAAATTTCAACAAATGCAATGAATCTTAGAAAGAAAGAAAATTAATAGATTTTGGACGTAACCTAGACGTGTTGTGTTCGATTTCTTAAACTGACAAGTAACATACAAGGTAAAAATGAATTATAAGATTCATGTGTTGACGAGTGATAAAAATACCGTTGAACACAAGTACAAGAATTCATATAGAACATTATCAATTTAGCATCATCTCTGTACCAGATGGAACCATTTTAACGTACTCTTTTATCATATTTAAAACAGTAACCGGGTTTATTCAAAGTAACTTTTATGTACAAACGTGACCAGAGTCTTCACGAAAGACACAGGAAATGACAAACAAACTATTCACTGCATGAAAATGAACATGACGAACACAATATGAGGCATACATGATATATCAGGCCACATCAATGTCATCAACATCTAACCAGTCATTTGATTCCTTCGCATCATGGATATTTACATTTACGTCGCTAGAGTGATTAATTTCACCATCCTTGGACGAGTCGGACGTGCTTTTCCTCAATTGGACCCAATCTTGTGAGTCTTTATCTGAACTGTCATTTGCTTTCCTGAAACTTGAGGGCACGTCTCCATCATCGTCCTCAAGATCACTAAAGGATACATCATCATTCTCAACTGGTATGGTAGTTCCAGTGGCACCACCAATTTCAGAACACTCTTCCTTTAGCCAATCATCTTCATCTTTCTCTCCCGAATCATTAGCATTTTGATCTTTAGTTCGATTGGTATCCTCTTGTTTAATCACAGATTTTTCAACAACTGGAATTTCATTGCTTTCGACTGAGTGCTTCACTGTTTCGGAAGCAGCTGCTGTAGTGGAAGTGCCCAATTCAAGGGCAGATGCCTTGCCAGGCTCATTCTCAGATAGAACAATGGATGGCACAGAAAGGGACTCTTCGTGATGAGAGACAGCGCCGTCTTTTGCATCCAAAGATCCTTGCTTTGTTGCAGTTAGGTTCTTCAACTCCTGCATGAGCAAGGCCCTGGCTCTCACTATCTGTAGGAAACATGCACAGAGTGCGTAATTAGAGCAACAGACAAATAGTACAGCACAGGTAGTCCAATTTGTAACAATTACTAGAGCCATTTGTCCTCGGGAGCAATTGTAATCACATTAGATCAAGGCACCCAACCAAATAAAAAAAAACTAACCAATTCAACATAACAAGGAAAAAGCCTCCAGAGGCCAGTCAGTTTTCCCATGACTAGGAGTCTACAAATATTGGGAGAGAGAAAGTAACAAAGCGGACAGATTATTTGTAATCACTGTTGTTGTACATGATTAAATCAGTGATCGATCTGATCCTGGAGGGAAATGCTGCTGTTGAAAGTAGTTATTGGTCAGAAACACTTGACCATCCAGCTTGCAATGATATGCACAGTGAGACTATTTTCGCTTCTCCTAAAGCTAAGTCATGAAGTAACTAATAGCCCTTTTTTAGTGCAACTGCCTACTGACCACCAGCATCAACTGTTAACGAGATATTGCAACGCAGTTCTGATAAAAATTCTAAAATGAAGTATCAACCGTTCTTAGAAATTACACAAGCCGAAAAAACAGACACGCATAAAAACTCAATGAAAAGAAAATAAAAGAAATAAAAAAAGGAGGAAAAAGTAGCAAGATAAAACTACAACAGAAACTAAGACATATCCCCAGTAAACTTGGGATCAGCTAGATTAATCCATTTTGGCCATTCTGCCTTGTTCATTGCTAGATGTCTTGAGATCTAAAGCAACTAAACCCTAAACAACTACCATAGACCCTCACTCTAAAAGTGAACAAGAACCTCTTTAACCTCTTTATGTCAATGCAAAAAGTGGCAGGATAAGGAAACAAAAAATAAACAGAAAAGCAACATAAAATACTGACAATAAATGCCCCATGGAGTGCTAAATACTCATCAAGTTAACAACAGGAACCTCGCTAATCAAGAAAATTATAAACTTGGCTAGATAATTCTACGTGTTGGTCAAGTTTCAGCATGTGCCGGATACGATAGAAAATGTAGAAGGATGTTGACAACATTCAGTTTGTGTGCCCTATGGAATAGTAGATTTTCCTTTTACGGAGGATTAATAAGTAGCAATTAAAAACACTACTTTTGCTTAGAAAAGCAAAATACTTGTGAACAAGGCAATTTTATTAAAATAATAGTTTTTCCTCAACAAATGGACATGCTGCCAATTGTGAGAACAGTTACAGAATAAAAGAACAGTATGTCCACATCAATTGACTCCAGCACAGAACATCTTTTGATGAATAATTGAGAAGAAGACAAACCTGGGGTGTTGATAAAAGTTCAGCATCATGTTTATCCAGTCTAGGATGGAGTAGAACAAAATAGATCTTCCAGAAGTAACTTTCACTGATATATCCAGGACAAAGCTCATTCCTCACAGCAGCTAATCTTGGGGCAAGATGCTCAACAGCTATGGCGTGTTCTTGTTGTGCATAAGACATATCAAAATCTGGTGTCAAGAAGGAAGTAAAAGATTGAATGGAACTCTTTTTACAAGAATTAGGGTAATTCGCAACCATATCACGTAGTTATAATAGGTTTAATGGTCCACATAAGTGTCATGAATCCAAGTATGCAACAAACGGTTCTTTTCAAGTAAAATAGATGCATAATGCACTTTATTTTGTCAGGCAGAAGAGTAATTATTAGAATTGCAAACAGGGTATAGACATAACTGATGCTTTTACACGTTTTCCTTATCATAATGAGGTCAGCTAAGATCTATACAGGCAAATTTGACTGAAAGACGAGCTGATATATTAATAACAGACTGATAACACACGGAAAAAAAAAAAAAAAAAAAAAAACCCAGTGAGCGAGAGAGACAGGGTGGCATGCGGCTTCTGCTTAAAAAGTACACAAAATGCATGAGTGCAACAATTTGAACCAGTATATAGCAAGTCTTTCTATAACCAAGAATTGGTCTCAAGAAGAATACATTTCTCTCTTCAATAAAATGCTACACCACCTTATGGTCTCTGTATACCTCAAAATGTTAAAATATGTAAATATTTACCCCCATTGTTTTCTCACCATCTACAGAAATCTGCCTTCCATCAAACAATTATTTAAAAGATAGAAATTTACGCCTTTCATTGCATATTCAGATAATATCATCATTACATTATCAGCAATCATAGCAAAAATAATTCAAATATAGACCCTAATCAGTAATCAGAGTTTATCGCAGTGATCCATATATGCTAGCCCTTGTAAACACTCTCAATTCCTACATTAAGATCTATATTACATACGTGAAAAACCTAAATTAATAAACGTATAAGTCCACAAACAAATAAAGAATGTCAGAACTAAAAATTTAGAAAAATGAAAAAGAAAAAGTCGATTCTACATACCTTCATCATCACTTTCAGGTAATGGGAAATCCAACCAAGTCTCAGTGTGCATCGCGATATCTCCTGCAAAAGCTATCACTTCCTCAGACACGCCCACTGCTCCTTTCCTCGAATCGTCTCTAATCCATTCTTCTTCGTCATCCGATTCCAATTGTAGAATATTTGACGCTATTTTGGTAATTTCAGACACGTTAATGTTATTCGACAGCCTCGAAATCCCGCTCTTAAACTTCCCCCCGATCTCCGCGAAGTCGCTCCTGATCCCGCCAACCCCATCCGGATTCTCTACCGACTTATTCTCCGAATCCGGGTGGGACTGGGACTGCTGCGGTGGTGGGGCTAGAAATGATGCAACACCCCAGAAATGGCTGGTGAGGGTTTTACTAAGCTCCGACAGATCTTCTTTGACACCACGTGACGGTGAAGTTGGAGACGCCGCATCATTGTCCGGGTGTTGCGGGCTTCCGGGTCCGGATTGGGCCTTGTTAACCGCGCTATCGTCGTCGAGTTTGAGAGTGTTGGCTATGGATCGAGCCAACCACGACATTGCAAATTAATACAGGCGGGCAGGATATGCGTTCGGTTGACTTTGATTCTCCAGTCGCCGGCGATAAGTTGGAGAATTACAGACGTGAATCGACGAAGCGTTGTCGTGTAATGGTAGTCCTAACTCCAAAGCATTAGGAGATGATTAAGCCTGCTAAACGACGTCGCACTTTGTTCTACTTGTTACCTCACTTCACACGGTAAGATCATAATTAATTATTTTGATCATAATCAATTTCTTTTTATCAGATTTTTTGTTATAAGAGTAAATGGTATTTGTCACATGATGATCATCATTTCTTAAATAGCATTTAATAAGAATTGTAGCATTTCAAAATTTGATTTGATTGTAATTTGTAAAAGGCTAAAAGCTATGCAAACATTCTCACCATTTCTGTACGACTTATAATGATTTTAAATGTAATTAAGAGA